TTCCTTACCGTTATCCGATTTAACAGCATTTAAAATTGACCGCGAGAAAAGCCGGCAACAACGCCCGGACCCTAATCATACTGCGCCGTTCCCGTGCTCGGGGCTCCCGGGGGCGGATGGAAAGCTGTTAGCGCTCTGTCAACCCCCGCACGACAATTGACCGCTGGAATGATTGCCCCCAAACCCCCCCCCTTCCCCGACGTCACGACACGTGAAATAATTCTCCCCTCGTCCGGGGGTTGGAGGAAGGCACCGGCTCATCTGCGCAATTTGCGGAAATGGATCGGTTGCCGAGGGTGATTCAGCTCGGTTTCGGGTCGACACCCTGCGGGCTGATTATTGTAACTGTTAGACAAAGAAGTCCTGGAGAGTAAAGAGCGATCCTATTGGTTGAAATGGATGGTTCCTACGGACTAAAGGGAGAAAATGATGGACTGACTATAGGGTCTCTCGTGGGTTGCCGTTGATTAGTCTATTACCTACCCTCCTTCGTCCACCCGCTTCCACCAATAGGATCCCTCCATATCCATGTTGTCTTCTTTGTCTATAGCTTTGTCTATCGATTCCAATAATCGGCTCCCTGATTAGGATCTTCTTTGTGTCCTCAGGTCCTCAGGATGGATAAAACCTCCTCATATTTTGATCTACGTTGACATTTTCAAATAAGCAGCTGACTGCGACGGTCTGATTTTTTAAATTAGCCAATAAAGCGACAGATAAAAAGGACACAGGGAAAATTGAGCAATCCTACTGGTAGAAGTCGGTGGTTGCAATGGACAAAGGAGGCGAGTAATAGACGAACTGACGGCACCACACGAGAGACCCTCTAATTAGTCCATCATTACCACCCGCTAAAACCATTAGATTCGCTCCATTTTCTTTTCGTCTCCTTTGTCTATCGCTTTGTCTATCAATTTCAATGATCAGCTCGCTGGAAGGGTGATGGATTTTGAAAGAAAATAATTTTTTGCTCGTTTTTTTTTCCCCTTTGTAAGTATAGTATTTATTAAATACGTACAAAGTAGAGCAATGCCGACAGTGTGGCCTTACCCAGAATTTTCGAAAGGCCTAGATTTTACATAATTAACATATTTACACAGGATATCAGCGTTTAGTAATGAGAGGGAAAAACTAAAGATAACTAAAGATATCTTTAGTAACTAAGGATAAAAGTCCACCCAAACGAAGTTAAAAGACCTAGAAAACATTTTGCTCCCTCTGTTCCAGATGTGCATGCAGTGCCATCGAATTCCAAAACATAACCAGAAATCCTGGCCTCATGAAAGTCAAAGTTGGTCAAGGCACGTTACAAGTAAACTGGCATACCATGGTTCATTATTATGAGACTTCTCTCCTCAAACAAGTTTTCGAAAATCTCAGATCATATGTGTCTAACGTAAAGTTCAACTCTGGAATTTTTCCATTTCCAGGCCCAAATTTCCATTATTGAAACGTTACTCAATTGCATCTTAAATTTCAATACATAACCGTTTCTCGTGTTGGCACAAAGTAAACATTAAAGAACAGTGCCCTATCTGCAATCTATGCCGTCTGGAAAAACTAGAACATATCCTCTTTGAATGTCCAATGTACACTAGCGTTAGGAACTTCTATTTTAAAAATGTACCAAGCTCAATGTCAATCCTAAAAAAATCAGCAAAAATTGAGCACATTTCTGCCCTATATATGTTTTTGTCATCAGCAATGAAAATTAGATCTTTTGTCCTAAACAAGTAGAAAGAGTAGACGAGTAGACCCTAAATTTTTACACTTTTACACTTTTATACTTTTATACCTGGCTTATGATGATTTTGTTTTTGTTTTTTCTTTAATGAACCTCATATAATTGTCAAGAACCTCTTTCTATAAACCCGTTATTTTGGGTAAATAAAAAAAAAAATACTATTCTATTCTATTCTATTCTATTCTACATAACCGTTTCTCGCCCAAAACGAGGCACAGCCAATTTCCTTGGTCGAGGAATTAACAAGTTGACTGGTAACCTTGATGACACAGATCGTCAACGTTATACTGCAGTATGTTGGAGGTCTCAATCTTCAAAAATACAATTGATCATCAATTCAAGTTTTCAACCGTAACTGTTTTTATAACAAATAAAAACATTGCGACACTATAATGTCAAAAAGACATTGAACTCAAGCCGTGTCTCACACGAAGCGCAAGCAGGCATTACACATGTAAACTCCTTATTTGTGGAAGATTATACAGTAGACTATTTTTTTAAAAACAAAAATTAATGGAGATACTGAGCGTAACAACCATAGCCAGATAGAAATTACGACAAGTGGTCATCAACTTTACCATGCTCATTGCTCCGTATATACACAGAACACTAAAGAATAAATTAAACTATAACCGTCATCCAATCACAAGTTTTGTTATTGTGTATGATTTCATCCCATTTTCCTATACAGTACAAGTACATGTAATATCGAATGAATTTCACCAGGGCCTTCCTCCTTTAAATTTTTGCGTGTGCCTTATACATTGAAACTCAGCTTTTCTTTCGTTTTCCCGATTTCACATGTTCTCACTCTAGTCATTATAGCGACTGCTGGATTTGAGAATTTTTTTTCTCAAATCCTTGTTCTATCATCTTATGGTCCAGCAACCGCATTCTCTTAGTTGACTAGACTTGCAAATGATAGCTACACTGATAACAGCCAGCCAATCATGCGTGGCCCTGTTGTCTGACTGTCTGACAACTGGACGCGCCAGCAAATCTGTATGCATGGGTTGCATGTTTTTCAAAGTCCTTCGAGTAGTCTATCATGACCCGTGTCCTGCACGCATCCAGAATGATAGATCAACTTCACTTTTTTTTCAGTGAATGTACGTCTTTCGATATCACATCGCGAAGCACTAACGAAAAGCGCCAATGGATCGAAATCCACCCAAAAACCTTACTTTTGGACGTACTGCCCTCATCAGTAACACGAGAGCCTCCCCGTTTCCTCGGAGGAGAATCATAATCGTAACGAAGCGAAACTCGTTACGCTTCCGTGCGGGAAATTTCGAAATTGCGAGGATGCGGAGAAAGAGAGGTGAGAGGGTGGCCTTCCGGCGCGAAGCTGCGTCCGCGCACAGTGGATCCATTCAATAGGAGAGCTCGGACAAAATTTTGAAACTTTTACAATATAAAACGAGACGAAATAAACATCAAAATATGCAGTTGTAGCCAATGATGGAGATGTTGCATGTGTGAAGAATTTGCGATTTGACTGTTGATTCTTATGTAAAAGTTCGCGAGAAACACGATGGTGCCACTGGTTTTCTCTGAAATCAACCCCCAAGCTCAAAAAAGGCTCTCAAGTTGAGGCCGAAATGGAGGGGATATCCCACGCTATCCTGAGAGTCCACGTCTACATCAAGACAAACTCTCCATGCAAAGATAGAGAGTAAATACATCAGCAGGGTTGCCGTGTTTTCAGTTTTGGAGTCCCCAAATAAAGTGGCAGCCCTGTCAATGTATTTGCTCCCTATCTTTGCATGGAGAGTTTGTCTTGATGTAGAGGTGGACTCTCAGGATAGCGTGGGATATCCCCTCCATTTTGGCCCCAACCTGAGAGCTTTTTTTGAGCTTGGGAGTTGATTTCAGAGAAAATCAGTGGCACCGTGTTTCTCGCAAACTTTTACAAAAGAATCAACAGTCAAATCGCAAATTTCTCACACATGCAACATCTCTATTTCACGTCGGACCTCCTTGATTGACTGGATCCACTGTGCGGGGGCTGGAATTACTGACTCGCGATTAATTCGCGAACCCCCTCTCGCGACCGCGGGTCCGGCTCCATTGTTTCGTGCTCGGGTGTGCGAGGCGAAAACCGCGGGTTCGGAGGGGGTTCCCGTTGGAGTTGAGCGGTTTTTGACCGGACACGCCGCTATGAGAACTCGCCGGCCTCTATGCTTGCCAATCGTTGCGTGCACCGCTCGCCGCCAGGAGGACGCACTCGAAATCACCCACTACTCCGCTCGAAAGCTGTTGCCGGATGGGACCGATTAATAGAATTAATTAATAGACAGACAGAGACGGAAAATTTCATGAAATTTATTCGAATGGAATTTCATGAAATATATTGAAACATCTGGGGATACATTCAGGAGGCTAAGAAACGCCTAAAAACAGTGATTCTAAATTTTGAAATTTTTTACCCCAAGCCTAGAACATTCGCGTGTTATGAATGTTTTCGTTTAGTTTGGAGGTAAGGTTGGGGTTTTTCTCTCTGAACTCCCCTTTTTGGCCCCTCTTTGTGTCTGGCACCTTCAGTAGAGTAGCGTAACACCGCAGCTGTATAGTAGCAGCTGATAGTAAGAAAGAAGGGGAGCTAACCAATAGACAATGAAAAAGGGGAGCTAACCAATAGATAATGAAAAAGGGGAACCACATGATGAAGAAATGAGGAAGAAACAGTGGCTTTGGAATTTAATAATTCTAAATTGTTAGGTATTTTATACCAAAATTAAAAAAAGGCTAGAGAATTTTATCAAACTTAGACAAGGTATTAAAAGAATCGAGGGAGCGAGTGCAATGATAGGAGGAGACTGAAACACTCATGCCGAGAGTTGAGACAATGAAAAGATGGACAACAGAGGATAAATTCCAATTGAATTGAAGGAAATAATCATACGATAAAAAATAACTATAAGAAATCCATACCGACATTCATAGGACATAGAAGCCAATCAGTAATTGATTGATTGCTTAAAGATTTGATCTGATTTTTGTCCATGGTTTTAGACAACATAACTGAGGAGTCTCGGAAAAATACCATCGTTGTGATCATAAAATTATTAAAATTAATTATAATATTTATAGTAGAGATCCTCATACGATGGGAGAATTGAATATGAAAGTGGGATGGTGAGTAGGAAACAATTAAAAAACTCCCAGAATTCGCCAAAAAAACGAGTAAAAAGTGGGTTAATGTGAAAAGATAATGAACAAATCATCATTCACCTTACTTTTAAAACTAAGGGACACTCAAAAGAATTCAAGCTCCTATACTGGTAGAATGAAAAAAAAAGCAGAAAGAGAGAGAAAGGACAGAAATTAGACAAAAACTGCAAAAATTAAGACTTGAATAAAAAGAACAAAAAGAAGAGCTATAAATAACAGAAAGAACTGGAATTAAAGATGCTGTCCTAAACATAGAAACAAAGAAATAAACATCTAAGCAGAAAATCACTGCTCAGGACCTTTCACTCGACGGACTAACTACACATGCACTCCGCTATTTCTCCACCAATCAATTATTTGTATTAATCTACCTACCTATCAACTTTTATTTTTTTTTAAATTACTTATTTGGAATCATACTTTATCATCCTTCTCCTTCTCCTTCTTCTCCTTCTTCTTCTTCTTCTTCTTCTTCTTCTTCTTCTCCTCCTTCTCTTTATTTTTATTTTTCTTCTTCTCCACCTTCTCTTCATTTGTATTTTTCTTCTTCTCCTCTTTCTCTTTATTTACATTTTTCTTCTTCTCCTCCTTCCCTTTATTTGTATTTTCTTCTTCTCCTCCTTCTCTTTATTTTTATTTTTCTTCTTCTTCTTCTTCTGTTTGCCCTACTCCACTAATTTCCACGTCTTCTTTTTTCACGTTGCATTATCTGAGCCACACCAAGTCATACCAAGACGAATGAAGCAACAAAGGCATCATGAAAACATCTCGATTTTTGAAACACGTTATCATAATAATCCATTCTGAATTCTCGTATGGACTCATTCTGGATAAGCTACCGACGAAAGTGTGCGGCATCGCTCAAATGACGGATATCGCGGCCGCGCATGATCTCACGAGTGAGCAACAAGGGGCCACTATTCCTACGAGGCCTCTCCTACTATCTCCTCCTGGAATTTTTCATCAACGTTTGAGCCACCGGGATCCGATGTATTATCTCTGCTCGCCTTGATAGCTCGCTTACGAACACTGCGTCTATTCTCTGGAATGGTAAAATAAATCAACTAATATCGCATAATTTGTGCTTCGTTTCGGCTCCGACGCCGTAGCTTTGGTTCGAAACAAGAGTCAGTCGTGTAACTTCAATCTTATGCTTTCCCAATAGGTGATTCCGAGGTTACCAAGAAATCATGAATTAATCACGAAGAATGAGGGAAACTTCAAGAAACCTTTCAAGAAACCTAATCATGTATCAATTGTATCATAATATGTAAAAATAGTATGTAACTCTATAAAGGGAACATAATTCTAAAGGGGGGAAATTATTCTAAAAAATGTAAATAAATCATATAGGTTTCTTTCAGATTGTATTGACAGGCCTTCGAGCTATGGCCTGTCTCCCATAGTTTCAACTTGTAAATAATCTAATAAATATTGATTTCTTTCTTTTAAAAAAAAAAAAAAAAAAAAAAAAAAAAAAAAAAAAATCTTATGCTTTCAACAGGTCGAAACATAATTACGTACGGCCCCGAATCCATTCAAGTACGCATCAGGCCAGCTACCAACCAGCTGTTGGGTCTTTTGGATATGGGACCAAATGAAGCTGTTCATGAAAGAGATGTGGAGACTGTGAAGAGGCTGGCCCCGGGTCCATTCAAGTACGCATCAGGCCAGCTACCAAACCAGCCGTTGGGTCTTTTGGATATGGGACAAAATGAAGCTGTTCATGAAAGAGAAGTGGAGACTGTGAAGAGGCTGGCCCCGGGTCCATTCGCGTTCGCATCTCGCCTGCCACCACCCAGCCATTGCGTCCACTGGATAAGAGACCAAATGAAGCTATCCATGAAAGAGACCCTGGTGAAAGTGAATGTGAAGCAGGACTGGTCATATGGATCCAAAAGTTTCACAAATCCAATTGAACTGCTTTCCGTAATTTGTATTTTGTCTTTACACACTTCAATTTATTTAAAAAATGTCCACAGTTGTCCACGATGCCTTTAATTTTAAAAGTTTATACTTAATGCTCCTTATAAAAGTGCCAACCCTCTCTGGTATGGATAAAAACGGAGCCTTTTGGTACGGGTCAAACTTTATTGTACTTTATTCTTTGGATTTTTCCTTCATATTAATTTGAAGAACCTACTCTCCTTCACTACACTCCTCTGTTACCCTCAACAACTGAGTAACAATTAACCGATTTAATTCGGATATAGTTCGCATCATTACTTCGCACCAGGGTTTTTTGTTGTATAGTTTTTCCCCATATGTATACACATGACTAGGGAATTGTTTTGCATTCTCCCACAACTTGTCTTTCTTTTATCATTGATTTAGAACTCTAGAAGTTTCGGCTACTACACATGATTATTTTCTTTTGTGAAAGATGTATAGGCACTGCTCTTTATGAAAAGTTCAACCCTCAGTTCTTTGATGGGGTAATGAAGCCATTTGGGGCGGTGAAAGCCTTTGGGTGAGCCTGAGAAAGCCTTGAAAAACAAATCAAACTATTCATTCCTCCTGTTACTTACAAGTGAAGAGAGCAAGCACTTTTCAAAAATATCACTTAATACAAATACCACGCGACAAATAACTTGAAATACATTAATTCCACAATAAATCAAATCCTTGAGTGCCATTTCTCCAGCGAACTGGACACGACTGTGCTAAGGCTCGTTTGAACTTGGAAGATGAGAGACAAATCCTGACTCCTTTTATAGAACTCTCTAAGCGGTCACGTCATAAAGGAGATAAAAAGATTATGTTTTAATTATTCCTCAAGCAGAGAGACATTATATAATGCACATGTAGCCTGTCTATCATACGACACCAAGTCGACGCGTGTCAATAATAACCGATATTTTTGTTTTTTTTTTTTCAATTTTCTCCGGCAGAGTGACTCTCGATTTATTGAAAATGAGACGTAATGTCCTAGTAAATCTAATAAAGTGATCATTTCCATAAATTTATTTTTTGAATAACACAAAGAGAAAAATTGCATTGAAACGATAAAAGATTTCCATCCCCAAACATGAAATTAAAACTTTATATCAAAATTTCTCGAAGAGGTGTTGTAAGTATAGTTTTTTTAAACTGCAAAATTCAGAATGTCAAACATCCGGCTTGGTGCGTTACATTCGAAAGCCTACGCCAGGCAAAAAATCACGTACTCAAATAACGCTTCGAAAAGCGGGGGTTTCACTATTTCAGAGTTAAGTTTTCAACGCTGGAGTCTATCTTTCCCTGCACTGAGAGGGAAAATCCGAAATTTTACGCCGAACTTTTGGGGTTTTTGGTGTTCATTTAATATTTCAAAGCGAAATTTCGGTACGTAGGAGCAAACGTTCGGTTCGTGAGGTCTGATAAGACAACCGATAAAAAGTTCAATAACACGAATCGAATTTTTTCTTTGACAAACGTACTAGTTCGATAGATATGGTACATAAAACATTTGGCAATAGAATGACAGACGAAAGGCTGCCAAAGAAGTTGCTTGATTGGGTTCCTCCTGGGAGGAGACGAAGGGGACGCCCAGTGAAAGGGTGGCGACAGGGGGTTTTCCAAGAAATGAGGGTTTGCCAACTCCCTGAAGGGTTTTGGGAGGATAGGGGACTTTGGCGGCTAGTAGTCGCAGGGCGCCAGAGAGCGCTATAAAAGCGTCTTTACACATATACAAAGAGATTCACAATTTTCCCAATAAATTCTGTTTTTATCGAGGTAAATTTGGTAACATCTGGGGGCTCATGCGACGTTCTTCCTTACCACGGCAGTATACAGCCCGTAAGTACGGTTTCCATAGCCGGAGTTTTTTTTCAGTGTTTTCAAATAAAAAAAAAAAAATACACAAAGGCCTTCTTCATTATGTCCCTCATTTATCGATTGCTGCTCTGAATTAGTGCGTTGTAATACAGGCCACTCAAAGAAAAACCCTCGAATGATGCTTGAAGAGGCGATCGGTGGGAATCGCATGTGATGGCTTTTGGCGGGTGGCGCGGAATCAAAATCGCCGAGATCGTTGCGAGCGTTAAGTTAACGCCGTTAACGAGCCGCTGACGGGCGCTAGTTTTGATGAATTATGCGCCGTCTAATTAGAGGGGAGAAGGCGTGAATAACAAGAGGCGAAGAGGGCTCATTCGGAAGAGGGTGTAGGCACCAATTTTGCAGCGTTGCCGGCCCCGGCTCTCATCCGACGCCAGTACATTAATACCATTAAATCGACATCAATCATCCCGCAAAACAGCTTAGGCAGTGTGAGTGAGACCAATTCACGGGCTTGGGCTGAATGGGACACCTGAGTAGAAGCCGGCACAATGGGCCAGTCTCGCCGGACAAAAATCGAATTTTCAAGATTACATTGTTTATGAACCACTAAGAGCTCGACGAGGCTTCAGGTTATTTCGTCTAGTATTTTTTGTGTAAAGTTAGAATGGGTCAGTTGCGCTGGTCACAGAATTGAATCAGTGAGTTCGAAAACACACCAACTCGGGAAAAAAAATTGTTCAGGAAACACCAAAAACTGCGCAAGTTGGTTCAAGAAAAACCTTTTTGGTGCCGAAGGACAAGTGCTCAGAGACTTTGTAAAGCACCAAGTTGAAATCGATACACCATGTTTAATGACAGAGAAGTAAGCGTTTAAGCATTTCCGAATTGATGTGTTTTCGTTCTCACCGACTTTCAGATACTGATTTTTCATAGTCTGCCCTGAAAAATTTATATTTTTCGACCTGAATAACGCTTGAATATTTATATAACTTGTTGGTACAAGGTATACTGAACCGAAAAAAGAAAACCGCAAAATCGGATGGTCACCCGTTTCCCTTGAAATGGCCAAAAATTGGTACTTCCAATGAATTATTTCGATTCTTCCCTTTTCCCGTCGCTGTTTCGAGCACATCCGATTGCAATTTCAAAATTTCCTTTTGCGTGCAGATGCTTCTATCCATAAGTGTCACTAAACCGTGAAAAAAAGAAAATCGAAAAAAACCCGAGTTTGTGTGTTTTCGAACTCACTGATTCAATTGTGTTTTGGTGCTTGATTCTTGTAGATAAGCTAAAAATAATGAGTTCTGTCCAAACAGCAACTTTCTACGTTCAATATTAACAGAGATATCGCCCTTTGAAAAGTCAGGGTTTTGACGTTATCCACCGCGGTAGTGACACCCTTGGTTTCTTCTACCTTGCTTTCATCAGTCAGTGCTACGCACATTTGCAATGGTTACTGAACGTGAAACTCAGATGAAAGCAATGTGGTAGAAGCCAAGGGTGTCACTACCGGGATGGATGACGTCAAAAACCCGACTTTTCAAAGGGCGATAACTCGGTTGATATTCAACGAAGAAAGTTGCTGTTTGGACAGATATTATTTTCAGCTAATCTACAAGAATCATGCATCGAAACACGATTCTGTGACCAGCGCAACTGACCCATTGCCAATTGTGTTATGCCCTACAACGTGCTGGTCTAACCAATAATTGGACGTATTTCTGTCAAACAGAACAAACTACGTACGGGTGAGAAATATGAGGTGTGCTCGTTAGTTGGCGGCCGGTAAGAAAGAGTGGTTATTAAAAAGCGCCGATGACGAAGCCGCGGCGGCTATCTCTCTTCCCCCGCATTAACTCATGAGCCTTCTCCACAACGCTCTTGTCCCATGCTCATGGCTCATGACTCGCATACAGTTGGCACATCGTTCCGTTTGGTGGAGGAAAGGAGGAAGGAGCGGAGGAAAGACGAAGGAAAGACGCTTGCGTTTGGCAATTATTCATGACGAAATTGACTCAAACTGCATAATAGATGCTTCAAAAATTCAAAAATATTCTGAAGAAGGCCCTCGGACACCCTTAACGCCGCTTTTTGAAGTGAAAAACACGTAGGAACATTCAGGCGTTGCCAAATTTCATTGGTATGTAAATGTATTTCAGGGAAAAATTGATGGTGAGAAAAATTCAGAGACACCTTGGAGGAAATAGTGAAAAGTTCCAAGGCAAATAAGAGTACGTGGTTCGTTAAAGAAATTCTGTTTTAATTTGCCAAAAATTTTGCGAAATCCGCATTTTCATACGTCGATATTTCTAAACTCCGCGGCACTTTAGTTGGATTGCATTTTACAAAAAGAACCAAGAGCAATCCAATGTTGCTAAGATTGTGCAACTTGCATTCTTTGCAATAAAATTACTGAAATTTATAAGATCATTTTCATCTTGAAATTATAAATGATTGGGAGTTAGATAAACTTGTTCAGATGATCAGTTTATATTTGCGAGGTAAAAAACATGGAACTATCCGAGCAACACTGGAATGCTCTTGGTTCCTCTCTGCAAAACGCAGTCCAGTGCATTCCTCCCGTCCAAAAATCCCTCGGATCTTCGCACGATCTGGCAAGGCGGCCGATAAGTCGTCGACTTTGGCTCGGAGTCAGGAGAGAAGTGTTGATTCGGAGATCGGTTCCCGCTAACCGCCGGCAGTCAAAAAAATGATATTTATTGGTTTGACGCGGGCGTCCCCCCTCCCCACCCGCACCGCCGCCACCCCCCTCGGCGCTGATCCGGAATTGATGATGCGTGCGCTCTGTCGCATATGTCTTTGATTCACGCCACTTTCACCCCCTTTTTTTAAGCGCCCCTCCCCTTCCCCTCCCATCGCCCTCCGGGTACCTTTTCCTCCCTCGCGACTCCGCGGAAGGCGGAGGTCTTAATCCGTCGCTCCGACACCCTTGCTTCCCACTTGCTGCTTCTACCCTTCCGAACACCGCTGCTGAATGGACCGCTAGACAGGATAAGAAATCACGATAGGGATGTGTTCACCGGAAGGGAACCGAGTGTTAAGGGAAACAAGGGGTCCGCTCGTTACCTGCTTGACTGAACTCTCCTATGTGATAATCCAAAAGATCCGAGTTGATTTTGGTTCATTTGGACCGCGTTAAGCAGGAAGGGACCAAGCAACACCGGTCATTGCCAAAAATTGGGTATACTTGGATTCGTTACATGAAAACGGTTGTGCGGATTATTGCGCAAAGTTGAGTGAATTTTCTACATAGTACGAAGCAAATTCCTTAAAATTTACGAAGGAAACCGCACTACCAAAGTTTCGCCATTCAGACGTTTGGGTAGGTTACGTTACACATAAATCCGATTGTACCAAAACCACACTGGAAAAAAAAACCACATTGAATCTAGAGTCGAGGCTCTTGAAAACATTGACAAGAAAAAATACTCTTGATTCAATCAGATTTAAGCTTAAATCAAAAGGAAATCCGCTTTAATTAAGAGGCTTGGTTCTTGATTTAAGAAAAAATCCGGTTGAATCAAGGGTATTTTTTCTTGTCGATGTTTTTAAGAGTCTAGACTCTAGATCCAATGTGTTTTTTTTTATCCCAGTGCATTGTCCCTCAGGGGTGTGTGTGTGCGTGTGAGTGTGGTGGTCTTTTGTTTTCCTTTGCGGAGATTCAAATATCGTATCGAAAAAGCCGAGAGCCATCTAGATCCCCTGCTAATCCGGTGTCCTTTTTATCGATCGAAAACATTGGGACCGTGGGTGACATGACGCCGCGCCGGGGCCGCGTGTTGGTGTTTTCCAAATTATCAGTCCCGCACTCCCGCATGCTCCATGCTGGCAGCGACCTGCTACACTCGCCCCTCCGACAATGAACCGTTTTCGGCAATTAATTCCGCTGCGCTTTTAAGGGTGGAGTCGGATATGCG